ATCATATAGTTACCAAGTGACCTAGTAATACCTGACTTTGTTTTATATATGTTTTTGTTTAAAGATACTTTATTTAATACATGTTGTTGATTGATTAACACCGAATTCCCCGTCAACAGCACCATAACAAAGCTTACCTAACATGTGTATTTTTTCTGGAAGGCACCTCACAGCCTGCTTGCTCTTAGGAACGCTAGAGAGGACTTTAGTATTGTGCTCGAGGCTGTTTTTTAGTTAGTAAACTATTTGTTGAGCAGTTTTGGGTTCACAGCAAAGTTAAGTAGAAAGCACAGAGAGTTCCGATAGTACCCCCTGTCCCCACAAGCACACAGTGTCTTTGGGAGCCATTCTGACCTGTGAAACCACAGTAAGAATGCAAAAACTGTGGCACCAAATACTCAAAAGGGACACTCATTTGCAATTCTAGAGGTGCAACAGAAAGGTAGAGTGTTGCCTCCCTCCACCTCCGCTAGCGTTCACCACTCTGCCCCAGGAATTGACTGGGTTATAAATAAATTTCAGAGAGAAGGCAGATTCACAGATCAGAGTCTGTAAGTACGGAGGATTGATTGTAGCCTTTTAATTACAGTACTTTATAGAATGCTGCTATGTGTTTTTATGCTCAGAAGAGCAAGTTCCTCATTTTTTTCTTCAGGAATTTATTGTCTACAACTCTTACCACTCAATATTAGACAAATAAGCCAATTAAAAATGGGCAAAAATTTGAATAGACCTTTCTCCAGAAAAAGATATACAGATAATGAGAGTGTAAACTAGTGCAGCTGCTTTGGAAAACAGTTTGGCAGTTCCTCCGAAAATTGGACAGAGTTATCAAGTGATCTAGTAATTTCACTCCTAGGTGGAGTGGAAGAATTGGAAACACATATCCACACCAAAACTTGAATGCAGGTATTCATAGGAGCATTGTCCATAATAGCCCCAAAGTGGGAATGTCCAGCAACATATGGATGAGTAAACAAAATGTAGTGTATCCACATAATGGATACACTTCTACTTGGCAGTAGAAGGGGAAGAACATTTGATAGACACTGTAACATGGATGAACCTTGAAAACATCAGGCTAAATTAATGAAGCCAGACACAAAAGATCTTATATTGTACAGTTCCATTTATTTGAAATATCGGAATATGCACATGCACAGAGACTGAAAAGATGAGTCGTTGCTGCCAGTCGGGCTGGCAGGAGAGAGTTAGTATGGGAAGTGTCTCCTAATAGGCACAGGGTTTCTTTTTAGGGCAATAAAAATGTTTTATAATTATATAATGGTGATAGTTATTCAACTATATGAATACACTAAAAGCCACTGGATTGTACACTTTGAATGAATTTTATGGTCTGGGAATTAAATCTCAATAAAACTACTTTTTTTCTTAATGTTTTATCTACACAGAGAAAGTAAAATAATGCTCTCTCCTTCCAGTCCTGCCCTCTTTATGCCCAGCATGGAGAGAGGCTCGAGCCGTCCAGTGATGCATGAGCAGTGAGGGGTGAGGGTCCTCAGGTCCACCCATCTGCCCAAGGTGTATCACATAAGGCTCTGTGCCTGAGGGAGGTGTCCTCCATAGATTTTAAGCAGTGACCATACTTTGTAAGTCATTTGTATTACCTAGGATGCCTTCTTTTTAATTTTTTAAAAATGTTTATTCATTTTTGAGAGAGAAGGAGACAGAGCGAACAGGGGAGGGGCAGAGAAATCTAAAGCAGGATCCAAGCTCCGAGCGATCAGCACAGAGCCTGATGTGGGGCTCGAACTCACAAACTATGAGATCATGACCTGAACCAAAGTCAGGCATTTAACTGACTGAGCCACCCAGGCGGCCCCCCCCAGGATGCCTTCTGGCCCTTAAGTTATTTCCAGAGTTACTTTGGGCAGGGGATGGATTATTGCCTGTTCTCATACATTTATTCTTGTAGATGAACTTCAGAATGAGATTGTCACAGCCCCACCCTACTCCCATCTCCACCAGAAAGAAACTCTGTTCCCACTCTGTTCCCATGAACCTATCCAACTTCTATTGAATATACTTTTGGGTAGACTTAGCGTCTTTATGATATTTAGTCTTCCCACCTAAGATCATGGTATGATGAGTTTATTTAATGCCCTTCAGTAAAATTCTGTAGTTTTATCCTTCTTGTTAAATTTATTGCTGATTGTGAAGGAGGCCATTTTCCGTTCCAATTTTTACATGACTGTGGCCAAGAGAGTAAGAAGTAATTGATGTTTATGTGTCTGGATGTGAATATCCTGTATTCTGCCACCTTACTGAGGCCACTCTTTAGTACTCTCTTTCTCCCCTGATTTCCTTCCCGGGGTTTTCTTCTGCCTGTTTCTCAAGCCATCTCTACCTGGAAATCCCATGAGTATCTAAAGCTCAGAATAAAACTGAAATGAGCTAATTTACAACTAAAATAATCTCTTCATGCTCTTAGGTTCAGAACTGCTCACGGCTAGCTCTTGAAGCACCTTTGTATAAATTAGGAGAAGATGCCTCTTTTCTGACACTTGACTCATATCTCCTGGGGAGATTGCTATACCTGATTCTGTCAGAATATGACACGTGACTGCAGAGAAATGTCATAATGAATCTGCAGGTGTCTGGCGTCTTCTGTGTCCAGGCTTGCTTAGACGAGGTGTGTTCAGGCAGTCTCAGCTGCAGAGGCATTCTTGTAGCACTGCGGATTTTATTTTATTTTATTTTATTTTATTTTATTTTATTTTAGCTATTTTATTTTAGCTATTCTATTCTATTCTATTCTATTCTATTCTATTCTATAGAAATGTCTATTCTTGAGAGAGAGAGAGTGCAAGCAGGTGAGGAAGCAAGGGGGAGACAGAATCTGAAGCAGAATCTAGGCTCTGAGCTGTTGGCACTGAGCCCCGCGTGGGGCTTGAATTCACAAACCACGAGATCATGACCTGAGCTAACATCAGACACTTAACTGACGGCGCCACCCAGCTGCCCCTTTGTAGTGCCGCTTAGATATGTCTTTAGTGCCTCCGTTTACCTCATTATATTTCACCTCTCATCACAGTACAACCTCCGCTTCCCACCCTTGCCAAAAGGACAAAAACAAAGTGTAACCCAGTATTCCTCTTTCCAGCCTCTCTCATCTCAGACACTCTAGTCACAGTCCAGAATAACCTTCCTAAAGCATCAGAAACCCCTGCCCAAAGGCCCCTGATGGTCCCTTACTTTGCTCAGAGTCCGATGTGCTCCAAGCCCCAGAACCCTCATCGCAGTCTTCCTCCGCAGCTGCTTTTCTCGAGACCCCCCGCCCCTCTCTGTGCTCTGTCCCGTCGGGAACTCATGGTTAGCTCCTGTCGCCTCTCCCTCTCCGTTTTCTCATCCGTGAAGGGAGAATACTGCTGCCTCCTCGATAATTCTGTGGTAGCAGGTAAAAGATATGGCTCACGCCCGTGACCAGCACAGGGCCTGACTCTTTCCCCTGCCTTCCCCATCCCTCACAAGGATTTGGAACCTGAAATGCTATATAACTATTACAGGTTGTTATGCTTATTTACGCCTCATTGTATGGCCATTACCCGAAGTTTTTCTTTTTAGGCAAGAATTCATATTTGACCTCTAATGAGGAACATTTGAAAAGATTCCAGAAAGAAAAATAAGGGTCACTTTGCAGCCTCAGTGTACCACCACAACAGGTACCACCAAAGGGTTCCCGGCTATCCTCGGAGGCACCTGGCAGGCTGAAGGGTGCAGCATTGTGCCCTGGCTGTGACGGTCTGCCCATGACTGAGGAGGGTCAGGAGGGGAGGTGACAGCCACCTCAAGGAAAGTTGTTTGGAGGGTGCTCAGGAAGTGTGCTGAGAGCACAGCCCTTCCCCGTGGGGTTCCCTCCCCCCACTACTCCTGCCTTAAGGAAACAAGGAAGAAGCACTTGCGGCCACAGCAAATGTTTTGTGGTTAAGAGCCATTTTCCAAGTGTCTGTGCTGGTCCAGAGAATTGATTTCATTTCAGCCCCATTTAGTGGTCCGTTTATCTTCTGTTCGAGCCTCTCTCCCGATTCGGTTTCCATTGGGTTTTAATCAGAAACCATCTGGCGAAAACATTTTGGATCCACATTAGGGTTTATCATAAGAACAATCTCCAAGAACACAGATGAAACCCGGAGTGGAACAGAACACAAACAAGAAATAATGCAATAACACTATCAACAGAACAGTGTCAGAAGGAGGGAACCGAGGGAAACCCAGAGTTTATGTGTAGAGAGGGAGCCAACCCTTCAGAGGAGGACCAGCCCGGGGAAAGGGGGTAGGCGGGCAACTAGCACTCACACCAGGGGCTGGTGGGCCCTTCTTCCCTTGCTCACCAACCTGCTGTCCTTGGTGGGGTAGAAGCCACGGTTAGTAGCCCTTCCCCACTTCTGAGCTGGGACAGAGCACTGTCCAATCCATGGGCACATGCAGTTCACTCCCCTCCGGAGATGGGCAGAGCCCCGTCTCCTTTCCACACCCTTTTCTTCGTCTCCCTTTCCCAGAGCCATCCTGCCCTCCACTTGGGGAAGACATGCAGTGGGGCTCATCACCGATGACGGGACCACGCTTATTTGCCTACCCCTCCCCCATGTGCTGTAGACTTTCAGACGCTTGGGTCACGGGTTTGAAAACAGTGGAAGAGCTACGTCTCCAGCCCCACGTCGCTGAATATCTTCTCCAACTGGTCATCATCGTGGCTTTGACTTAAGGGATACATATACATGTTAAAAAATATTTTCCATAAAGTATAGCAAACTATAGAGAACATACTTCTCCTTCCAACCCCATCCCTGTGCCCCCCGCCCCTTTATCAGAGGCTGTTTCATCTGTATCTTTTCAGAGGTCACCAGTGCTTATCATTGTTAACTTTTAAAAATTATTATCGTGTCTTTCCTTTTTACTTTTACTGCTGAGGCTGCTAGATTTACCCGCTGTGTTTGTTCTTCCTGTGTCTGCCTTCTCCACATCCCTTCCTGTCACAGACTTTGACCCTTGGTGGACAAGCAGTTGTGAGCAGAATGAGTCGGACTCCATCCCTGCCAACTGCACCGGCTGTGCCCAGAAATTACCCCTCAAGGTGATGCTCCTGGAAGATACTCCGGAGAACTTTGAGACACTCCATCCTCTGGTGATCAAGGTGAGCAGGAAGCAGGATTCTCCCACTGACAGATGGTCTGCTTAATGCCCACAAGGCAGCAAGCTCTGGGACGTTCTCAATAAGTAATCCTGTGTTGTTCTGTCTCGCTCTTCTTGTCCACCCTGCCAAGACGGGCCAGCTCTTATTCCCAGAGGAGCTCCAGCACTTTCTGTGCCAGTACCCCGAGGTGGCGGAGGGCTTCACCGAAGGGCTTTTCTCCAAGTGGTGGCACTGCCTTCCCGAGCGGTGGTTCCCATTTCCTTACCCGTGGTGAGTGTGGGCAAGGGCACTTGGTCTGTGCATGATAGGAAGGGGGGCAGACCGAAGGTCAAAACACTACCACTGAGACCCTCCCGTGCCCCACACTGTGTGGACCAGGGTCCTCTTCAAGTCAGATGACACTCAGGAGCTCACTGTTGAAAGATCAGAGGTGGGAGATAAAGAGGATGAGTCAAAGAGGTGTGTCAAAAGGGCTGTCACCGTGACTGGACACCGAGATTGCCTCATAGCATCGCAGTTTACCTCTGAGTATGTCTGTGCAGGATGCACCCTGAGCATTGAAGGGCTAGAGTCAAGGCCTGAAGAATATAAGGAAACTTCATTTACTGACACCTTGTTGGCGTCAGACAGTGTGGGTTGGTGGTTAGGCCCTGTTGTTCACTGGTGAGGCTCATGTTAGCTCTAGGAAGTAGGAATTATCATTGTTGTTTTTCAGATCAGAAAAGTTTCAGATCAGAGAGGTTAAGTACCTTGCTCAGCCAGGATCAAAACCCAGGCCTGTCTTCCTGTTCCTTCTTGTGTTCTGTAGAAGACATGGTCTGTTTCTTGGGATGAAGATTGCTCTCTAGAAGAAAAGAAAGCAAGCCAGTTTCCATCTAGAACCATTCCAAAAGAGAATTGAAATTGCTTTCTTTGGCCTGATAATTTCTCAATGCTTTTGTCTTTTTTTTTTTTTAATTTTTAATGTTTTATTTATTTCTGAGAGAGAGAGAGACAGTGTGAGCAGGGGAGGGTCAGAGAGAGAGGGAGATACAGAATCTGAAACAGGCTCCAGGCTCTGAGCTGGCTGTCAGCACAGAGCCCGACACGGGACTCGAACCCACGAACCGTGAGATCATGGCCTGAACCGGAGTCGGAAGCTCAACCAGACTGAGCCACCCAGGCACCCCTCAATGCTTTTGTCTTTATTAAAGCATTATTTAATTTGTTTATGCGTTGATTTGCATAATAGAATACTCACTCTAACTAGTCAGGCTTCCCACCGCATGCTACACTGCCCTCCGAGGTTTCTTGATTTTTGCCCTTTCCTCCTCCCTTCTGTTCTCCCTCCTGGTCTGTTTCTTCGGTCTCTTTTCCAAGACAGAATGAATGGGCCGTTTATTTCCTTCCTCTATATGTTGTTTTAGCTGGATTTTATAAACATCCCACCCACACGTACAAATGGCGGCTGTGGCGTTGTGTGTGTGCTTGTGCGTGTTACACTTAATTGGTTTGGCATGCACCTAATACTTAAGATACTGTCCTCATATTTCTCCCCCTTTACCCACCGCCCACAGCTTTCCCACCCTTGCTTGGCCCTGCTAGTCATGGAGCTAGAGGCCGGCCTGCCCATCTGACTTACTTTCGTCTCTTTCAAACTTTTACAGGAGAAGACCTCTAAACAGATCCCGCATTTTACACGAGCTCTTTCCGGTTTTCACCTACCTGCCATTTCCAAACGAAGCCTCCTTAAGAAAGTGCTTCCTTCTTCAGCCGGAACCTATTGTGGGTAGTAAGGTAGGACATTTTGAGAGGACTTGGGTCGAGGATTTTCCTCATTTGGCACCTGGGCTGATGTCCTAATCCCTTCCTTCCCTACATGTCAACACGGAGTGTGACTTGCTAGCGGGGGGACCTGCAGTGGCCCACCCTTTTATGAAGGCGTGCTTGTAAAAAGTCTAGTTACCTTGCACATTTATCTCCTGGCCTAGACACGTGGGGGCAAGCTACTTTTCTACAGTAGGAAGTAGAATCCTAAACTTTGAAGGGACCCAAGCATCCGATTAATCTGACTTCCCTCCCTCAAAGTAGAAAGCAGGCAGACTGTGAATGAATAGCCCAACTTACTCATGTTGTGGATAGGGACACTGAGCCCCAGAGAGAGTAAATGATTTGCCCAAGGACACAGGAAGTTAACAGGAGGGCTCTACCCACCCCCACCCCCATTCCCAGGTTGGTTTTCCCCAGAAATAAACTAATGAGAGACTTCAGGCAGAGAGCTGGAAAAGCAGACTGTTTGAGAGGTTTGGGCACAAAAGTGTTGATGGGCACCAGACTAGTTTTGGTAGTAATGCTTCTTAGTCCATGGCCAAGACCCCAGAGCCCACACTTACATCTCCGGGGCCAGTGGACCCGGTAAAGCTGTCCTGTATTGTGTCCATTTACTTTTCTCTGAATTGCCCTTTTGTTGAGCCTCATTCCTGAGGAAGGTTTTTGACTTTGGATTGGTTTGGAAGAACTAAAAGGATGAAATTTCCCAAACTGTGACCCCTACCAACTCCGGGTTGTGTTTTCAACCTCCCAATACTATTGTTTGGCTCCGAATTTGCTGAATCGTCTTAAAGGAATTTCAAAGCCTATAAAAACAATCATTTTGTCTAGGAGTAAGAACTTCTGTCTGCCAGCAGTAGGGTGGAGGTGCTGGGCTCTTGCCTCAGAGTTGAAAGTTTATTCTGCTGTCCCCAGCTAGAACTCAGGGCCCTAGTATGATTTCATTCTCATCATGATGATATAATTTTGAGCAAAAGCTTTTATCTTTATCTTGGTTTTCCCCACTTGAATCTGAGGTTAATTTCACTAGTCTGGTTAACAGGGACCCTGAGGAGCCCAGCCCAGAGGGTAAATGCGAAGTCACTCAGACGCCTGTCAGACTCTTGTGGTCCCCAAGCGTGTTGGGGAAGGGGAGTGGTCCAAATAGGCAAAAGTCCTGAGAGTCTGGTTTCTTAGAGCATCTGCTCCCCGCCCCGCCCGGGCTCTCCTCGCTCTTCAGCCTTGTTACTCCACGCTGGGCCCCTGGACCCTGGTAAAGTCACACGTCTGTGGGCCTAGGATCCGAGAGGCAGCCTTGGGACAGAAGATAAGAGGCGAGGCACTGGGGAAAGAGGTGAGGGCCTCCAAGGAAGGCCCGTTTCACCCAGTCCGCAGTGTAGCCTGGAGCTGGCCTGCTCCATCCGGTTGTCCGTTTCTTCCCCTCCTGGGTGTGGAGGGATAGGGTTCCGCCCCCTCTTAGGCCCGTATGAAAAGAGGGTACATCCACTTGGTTCTAGTCTTCCACGTTTCTTCAAGACTGCAGATGTCAGGGTTTCTGCCAGTCACTTGCAAGCCACTAGTCCTCCTAGTTAGTCCCCCTCCTGTCCTGACAGTGGCAGTTGAATGGCTCTAGTGTTGCCAGGGAAACAGTCATGGGCAGGGCCTATGGGAGCAATGGAGAGACCAGGGTTGGAGACCAGAGAAGACGGAGCCAAAACCAAAGCTCTGGAGGGCTCAAGTGGTGAAGAGAAAGTCTGGCTCAGGGAGTCAGGCTTCGGATCCCTGCCTTATATGGACACGGAAAGGCTTTTCCTGGAGGGGACCTGGAGGGGGGTCCTGAAAGTTTTCTCTCACCATCTAGGTAGGAAGCAGAGCCTGAGCAAGACCAGGTTCTCCCTTTGGCCCTCCTCCTGCCCACCCCAACACCAGGGTCCACAGCTGTACCTGGCCCATCGCGGCTTGCACTTAATGCCCGTTGGTGGCAGTGGTAGCCCTCACGGGCCCAGCAGTTGCCTGTGGGGGTGCGTCGCCCAGTTGTCTCCTTACTATTGAAACTCTGAGGCCAATCTTTCTGTCATTACTCTTTAGTCCATTGTATGAGAGATCTGCTGACCTAGTGTGAACCTGAACTTCCTGCTGTTCAGTTCTCACCAAAACTCTGGCAGTAAGAAATAATTTTCTAGAAATGCTAGTACATTGCCCAAAGTATATGCAGGCAATCTATTTCTCTAAAAAAATCTGGACCAAACCAGACCCTCAGAAGATTGTATACTTAGACCGCCATATGTTGGCCTCTGCTAGACTTCTGTTAAATTGTGCTTAGATGACTTGCCTTTAGCCCCCTTTGGAGCTGCGGCTAGAAGCAGTCATGAATTATAAAGCTCATGCTATATCTGCATTCGGGCTATTTGTTGAGAATGTCTCTTACTAAATCATGGGGTCTCTTTAGGTAGAGCCCACAGAAGAGATTTTACCCAGCTCTCAGGACCAGGAGAGGCCATGCTTAGGAGAAACTAGTTTGTTTTTGTCTCTTGGACATAATTGCGAATTGTGTTACTGGTTCTGTTTTCTTTTTTGCTTAGGCTGCTAGGAAACTCAGAGCCCTCTATAGACAGATTTGTGTACATTAATCTCCCATGCCACTGGGTCTTTCTTACTTTGTTTTCTTTTCCCTCCTCTTCTTCTTTTCTTGTTTTTTTCCTTGCAGATGCACAGAATGCATGACCTATTTATCATCGGCAGCGGCGAGGCCATGTTACAGCTCATCCCTCCCTTCCAGTGCCAAAGACACTGCCAGTCCGTGGCAATGCCACTAGAGCCAGGGGATGTTGGTAGGTGGCGCCCCCAGAGGGCAAGGTCCGTTTCAGGATCTTTGTAGTTTTTAACTCAGAAAATAGCCTAAGAATTAAATATTGCCTTCGCAAAGCTTCAATTCAGTAGAGTCAAAAATAGCATTCCTTTATGGGCAGAGCCCGTATTTGTGCTGGGTGGAACAACTGATAGGGAAATTAGCCCAGAGAAGTGCCTCATTTTATATATATTTAGAATGTGTGATGTGTTCCATTGGTTGTAGAAACTTCGTTAGAAGGCATCATAGAAAATATTTAAGGGCACCTGGGTGACTCAGTCGGTTGAGCGTCCGACTTCAGCTCAGGTCATGATCTCACAGTTCGTGAGTTCGAGCCCCGCCGAGAGTAGAGAGCCCGCTTCAGATCCTCTGTCTCCCTCTCCCCCATTCACGCTCTCTCAAAAATTAACATTTAAAAAAAGAAGAAAATATTTAGAGCAATCCTTTATTTTACAGATGAGGAGATTGAGACCCAGAGAGGAGAGGTGACCTTCCCAAGTCCCTCCTGTCACTTAGGCAAAGCGCCAAGCTTTAAGTGTCTCCTTCAACAGAGTCAGGTCAGGGGAGGCACAATCCTGGAGGAAACCCTGTCTGTGTCTCTTTCGCTGATCACGCAGTGCAAGCAGTATGTGAGGGCAACGGCCCCATGAGGAGACATTCCCTTCCGTGTGGGCCCCACTGCCAAGTCACAGCCTCGCAGTCATGACTCACTCTTGGCTCTTTGATTTCCCAACTGCGGCTTGCTCTGTGCATTATATTCTAAAACTCTGTTCCAAACAGACAGGTTTGAATCAACTGCTGTCCGTAGCAATCAGTTTGACAGTAGGGTGTTCTTGGCGGAAGCAGATAGCAGGCATCACGATTGCCTCCTGTGTTTTTCCTGCCCCACAAAACCTAGGGGAAGCCTCAGGCCCCTGACAGAACCCAGGCTGGTTTTCCAGTTGATTTCTTTTACTTTTACCTACTTAGAAGACCCCAGTCCCTGGAAACCTTTCACCCATTTGGAAGTAGGATACAGACTGCAAACTGAGACAGGCTTTAATCCATGTTACATAACTTCTTTCAGTGAAAATCATGCACAAATTAAGCGTTAACTGATAATGGAGCACAGCTGGCCTGGCCTTGGGGAGTTACTGCAAAAAAGAAGATTTTTGTGTAGAAATTGTTTTGAAGCTATTTTCCCATAGTGGAGTGACCCTTCCACGAGGCACGTCTATTTGCACAAGCGTGTGTGGCATTTGCGCTTTGAGAATGCGTAGTTTTCCCTGAAAAGCTCTCTGTCTCCTGTTCTGCAAAGGCCGGACAGTTCAGACAACTACAGAAACACCTTAGTTATCCAAGTGTCAGGCTTCTGGACCCCACAGACCTCTCAAACACTACTTACAGAGTTCGGGGGAATAAGTGGATACCTGTCCGTGATCCAGGAAGCTTCGAGCATCGGGGCTGGTGGGGATCGTGATGAAAGGCCTAAAATCTGGAGCCTGAGCACCTGCCGGGCTGCGAGTGGCCAGCTTGCTGATGAGGAGGCAAGGAGCCCTGTGGGCATGAGAGGCCAGCCACAGGACAGCAACGTGGAGAAGGGATGGGGGACGGACTAGAACAAGAGGGAGAGGGCAGGTCTGGGAGAAGAACGGGGCAGGAGGGGCTGGGGAGGACAGTGAGCGCCTGAAGCAGTGGCAGAGATAGGAGTGATGGCACCACTGCCATCAGTTAAGGACGCAGTTAAGGACGAGTACAGGAACGCGGGCCCTGCGAGCAGAGTAGAATAAGCCAGTGCAGGGGACTGTGGGACAGACGGCAGGTCCAGCACCTCGGGGGGTCCATAAGAATGGCACGGTGACCAGTAGGTTCTGTGGGTTTTGCCAAAGTAAGCACTGTCTGCTGAAGACCGACAGGGATACAGAGCATCAGGAAACCCGCGATAAGAAGCATTTGCGAGAATGGTGTGCGGGTCAGGCATCGGAGGCTGATGGTAGTGAGCCCACACGCCTGCCGTGGTAGATGAGTCACTGCCCACAGTGGCCTTTCTTTTCTTTTTTATTAAGAAAAAAATTTTAATGTTTCTTTTTGAGAGAAAGAGACAGTGTGAGCTGGGGGAGGGGAGAGAGAAAGGGAAACACAGAATCTAAAGCAGCCACAGATGCGGGGCTCAAACTCATGGACTGCAAGACCGTGGCCTGAGCCAAGGTCAGACGCTTAAGCAAATTGAGCCACGCAGGCGCCCATGTAGTGACCTTTCTTGAGTCACCAAGTAGAGGTTGAATTCTATTCAGGGCTCTCAATTGAAGATGGGTAAGTACGTCACACTCTAGAAAATTTTCCATCAGGAGATTTTCAAAGTGTTCCAAGTTTTTAAAGCTTTTAAGTCTACCTTCCTATTCCACTCAAATAATGTAGGGTCAGTGTTTCCTAAATGTTTCTTCAGATCACTGATAACCCTAGGGGTGGGAACAGGAGCCCCTTAGAAAAGCCCTTGGCAAAGAGGGCTCTTGGATCAGCTGATTTGGGGAACTACTTGTCTTGTGATTCCATAGTGCACATCAGTGTACAGAAGGCTCCAGAAGCCTTAGAGGAACCTAGTGTTTCTCAAAGTTCCTTGGCCAGGGAACCCACTGTCCTTGGACTATCTTATGGGATGTTCCCATTTGCAGAACACAATCTAGGAAGTGCTAGTGTGAGCTAATCTGGATGTTCTATAATGAGGCCATGTTACCGATAGCATTAGGAGAATTGGATGGGGGCGTCCTGCTCACCCTCAGATCTCATGCTGTCTTCCTGCCAACGAAGATGAGCTGGGTCTGAGAATTGATGCCCAGTACCAGCCTCGTGCAGGGCATGTTGCCTGTGTGAGCCTGCTGAAGTGTGAGTGGGGTGATAAAGCACTGTGATCCCCTAGTGGCTCCCCTTGGACGTCCCATTACAGAGAGAACTGATAACCGGGACTATGTATGGCGGCCAGAGCTGCCTCGTCTGTGCCCACAGGCGTGCCCAGTCCTTGCCATTCACCTGCTTTCCTGTTGCTGTTTACCTTCAAGGCTATGCTGGTGCCATCCACTGGAAGGTCTATGTTACAGCCAGAGGGGTCCAGCCTTTGGTCATCTGTGACGGGACCACCCTCTCAGAACTCTAGGGAGATGAGAACTGACCAGACGAAACAACTTCGAGGTCTGAAGGAAGACCAGATTGAAAGGGGAGAAATAAAAACAGAAACGATGAAACCACTTTCCAAGGTTCCTTAGTTCCCTGCCCTGTGCATGCGTGTATGAGCCTGCTGTACGCTGGAGGCTGCGGCCGGAGCCTGGCCCTCCCGACGCCTCCACATACCCGCGTGGCCAGGATTTTGCCAGTACCTGTCTGTGAGACTGGCCTCTTCCACACCTTCTGGAACCGCAGCCTCAAGGCCGCCCCTCATGCAGGAAACAGAGCTGACGCCTTCCCTTACTTGCATGGCATGGTCCCCTCTGCTGGCCCCCGGGCCACAGAGGGTGGCCAGCAGGCCCTGACTTCAGGGCCATCCCTCACCAGGTGGGCGCGCTTGGCCTGTCTCCCCGACTGCACCACCCAACACTTTTATGGAAAGCCATGGCCGATTAAAGAAGTTGTTGCAGTTTCCCAAGTGGAGTGGCGTCTAGAACCAAGATTAAGTAATCTCATCGTACTCAAGAAGTGCCCTGCCTTCCCGGTGTCCCCAGCCCTTGGAGTCTCACTAACACCAGGCTGGAGTCTGATTATAATTGAAATGCAAATTCCTGAGGTCAGATTTTCCTCCCCGCCACCTCCCTTCCCTTCCCGCTAGCCTCTCTAGCTGGTTTCTCAGAAGCCAGACTGCCAGTCCCCCTCCCTTGGCGAAGCCCTTTATTGCTGAGGCAGCACCGCTTCTGTCGGGGCCGAGTCTGGGTTACTTTAACAAGTGTCTTCAGAGGGGACGAGTTAGAGCACTGGCCTGGGGAGAGGGCGCCTCCCCAGGTTTGATCTTTAGGGCCCAGCTTTCCTCTGGGAAGATGTTTTACAGATGTGTCAAGCTGATGTTGTAATGTGGCTGGGGAAGGAGCCGCAGACCCCACGTGTTCGCCAGCTGGGCGTGCGACTGTGGCCTCCTCTGTCTTCAAGTGGTTTCTCTCTTTGTACTGGGAGACAAGGTGAGGTGTTTTTATTGTTTGTAACGATATAAAGCTTTGTCTTTTCAGGTGGGTGATTCGCTGCGCTTTTAGTGTGTATTAACCAAACGGTACAGATGAGGACATACTTTTCTTCCCTTCTGCCCCCCCCCTCCCCCCGCGTTTATTCTTTTATTGATGCTGCTAGATACCTGAGCTCCGGTCCTGTACCATCACCCAGCTCAAGAAAAATCCACGCTGTGGCCCCTGGTTGTGAAGTGCAGAAATCAGTTGAATCCAGGTGTCCATGGCCGAGTTAATGGACCAGAGGCAGACCGTGGAGAGGGCAGAATGTGTGACTCCTCGCAGGGTCCCCTGCATCCTTGCGGGTACCTCGTCCTGCACCTCGCCCTTGGGCCCTCTCCCAGCACCTCTCATGAGGAGCCGTGGGGACCATTCGGGTGCCAAGGGGTCGGTTTGTGGGCTTGTAAAGGAGGCAAATGGTTCACAGAGCTCAGGGTGGAAGCACTCCACCTCCACAGACGTGAATGAAACGAGGATAAATGGTACCTGAGGGAGTTTCTTCTTAAACAAGTCCGCGCCTTGTGTGGGTTAATGCAGGAAAAACAAAATTTTTTTGTACATATTAAAGTCATGCTGCTAAGCCGTTATGATTTAAGAGGTTTGAAATCGGAGGGATCATTTCAAGGCCAGCTTTGCGCAAGCTTTTAGAGCCTTCGCAGGGTCCTTACCCCTGCTGCTTGTGGAGGAGGCTTGGACGTAAACAAGTTCCTCAGTTTTCTTAAATGAGGCCCTTTGGGTTAATGAAAGAGAGGGTTCCTTGGAAAAAAAAGAAACTGTTTTGATGACTGCGATCTCTCTCTTGTCTTTGTGCGTTACCCCGCGTTCCTTCCCCGTGTCACGCCTGCCCGTCACACCGTCACTGTTCATAATAGCCACTGCAGCTCAAACCTTTGAAAACTAAGAAGCCCTTGCACGTGTCACCCTTCTGAAGTGTCCCCCGGGGAGTCGCCCAAGCCCCTGCGCTGTCTGCAGTTCAACAAAAAATGGTGTCGCAGCAGATCAGCTGAGACTCCCATGTGTGTCCTACCCATTTTACTTACAATCTGCCCCGTTTGGAATCGAAGGTGGATTTCTGTTAGGGAGGAAATTTTCCACAGCGGGGTTTCCTGGGCTTAATTACTGGATACAGAGAAGTAATTGGCCTTATCCTCAAGGCAATTCTGATAAGCAGGACACAGGAATGGCTTCTTACAGGAATGACCTGCGGTAGCCAGCTAGTCCCTTTCTCCCCGAGGCTTTGTGTGAGGGTGCTGCTCACCCCTCTGTCCGCTCCTCCACCAGAGGCAGAAGGCCTTCCCTGTGACCCGGTGTGCGAAGGAGGGTCATCAGGGTGAGGGAGAAGGGTCGGGAGGCATGGTGGGGGCGCCTAACCAACCCCCCACCTTTACCACCACAGTAAGTACAAAACTACAGGGACCCACTCACACGTTTCCTGACTGGTTACTCTGGGGTGACACTGTGCTGACCTCTGCATGTGGGGTGGGGTCACTGCCTTGTAGGTCCCCAGATAAGCTCCGCGGGGACAAAGGCTGCTTGGCAGCAGCAGTGTGAAGCCTTTACTTCCAGATGGGCTTAGGTCTGGAGGAGTCCAGTATTGACGAGATGCCATACCCGTTCAGGCTTCTCAGAAAAGGCAGAACTTATCTTCTCCCAACTCTCAAATTTTTTTTTAGGGAAGGGAGGAAGTAAAATACTATGGTTTATGAAAACAGAATCTAGGGGGCTCCTGGCTGGCCCAGTTGGTGGAGAGTGAGACTCTTGATCTCAGGGTTTGTAAGTTTGAGTCCCACATTGGGTGTAGAGGTTACTTAAAAATAAAATCTTAAAAAAAAAAAAAAAAACCAGAATCTACTTAGTTGGTTAAAAACAAAACCATCAAGGAAAGGAGCAGACTTGGGCTCATTATCTGAAAGAAAAGTAATATTTGTCCAGTCCGTTTTAAGAGTGTCTCCATAAACGTGATCTCTTTTCATCGCTACTCAGTCCCATAAAGTAGGTATTCGATCTCATCTTACAGACAGCGAGGGCTTAGAACAGTTAACTGATGGCTTTGCAGCGTATTCTTTTCCTGCTTCCGCACAGTGTGGTGCCCGAGAACGAAGATATGGGTTTAACTGGCTCGGGTGTGCCCCAACTGGGGGCGGGGAGGCCCGAGGGAGGGGGTCAGCAAGCCGAGAACACTCCCGGGGTTGTTTTCAGAACTGTCTTGGACAGAAATGGAAGAGGAGAGAATCTAACCAGATGACTCTTATAAAAATCCTTTCACTTTTTCCCTGTAAGAGCAAGTGTGGCTGGAATGCAACTGTGTCCAGCCATTTTCCCATCCCCACATGTTTCCAGATGTGTGATCAGAAGAGGGACTCTGCCCAGTTCCAGTTGTGGGTCCCCTTAGAGTTTACCTCACTTGTTTTTCAGTTCTCATTTCTGTTCCCGTCTTCCAAATTCCAGCACAGACCTCTGTAGGAATAGTTCTTTTCTAAAAAACCACAAGCTCCTTAGATGCAAGTGATGGCCTCAGTCGTTCTAACATAGTCGGGAATGAGGGTTTGCTTCTTATCCAGTGGCTTCCGGGATGAACATTCAAAACTCCAAAGCATATGTTCCCTTCTCATCTCGTCCTTGCCCGCAGGAGAAGGCCAAGTTGTAGGGGAAAGGGGAAACCGTGTGTCTGGTTACATGGAGAGAGGCGACCTTGGCGACCTTTTGAGAATCTGTTAATATTCGGAGGGGTCTTTCAGGCTTTTGAGGTCTCACGATGGAGGAGAAACTCTCCTGAGTTCACAGCCTCACGCTCATTAATTTCCAATGGTGAGCCATCATCCACTATAATTGGTCAAAGGAAGGCAAGGCCAGAGATGTGCTTTAAATGGCATGGAGGTTCTCTCCACGTTTGGAGCTGTTCGTCTTCTGCACGGAGCTGATGGCGTCAGGGCCAGGGGGCTGGGAAAGTGCCGGCTCTGAGAGAGAGGCTTACAGAGAATGAGAAATGGGAGGCCCTGGGGGTAATGCCGTGTTGCCGTCAGCGTGCGTGTCCCTGGCTTCCTCGCCTGCAGCCTCCCAGGACCCGATGGCTCCCTCCACAAAAGCATCTCCAAGAAGATGGACAGGTGCTCTCCCTGTCACACGCCACACCCAGGTCGGGCCCGCCCTTGGACACAGCGTGGTTTTCTGTGCTGGCCTCGGTGAGAAGCCCTCGGGCCAGCTTGTCCAAGGTCCAGGTCCCTGCTTTCCCTGCCCTGCATAATTGAAGCATTAGAGCTAACTCCATCTGTCAGCCTCCTCTCTCCAGAGACTGGGAAATGTCCAGAGCTTTTCAAAAGAGTGGTGGGAAGAAATGTTATGTAACTCCTGGTGGAACCGTCCAGACATGCCGGGGCGGGGGCTGACACGACCACTCCTCCTGCACTTGGCGCGTCTGTGGGCGGCATGAGTCTGGCCATGAGCCCCAGCTGTGAGCACCTGTGCAGAGCAGGGACACCGGTCTGGGGTTTCACACACAAACGGGAGTCCAGACACCAGCTCTGTGCCAAGCTTGACTCCCCTCATTTCCTCACCACAGCTTTGTGGGGTGGGTGAGGTCGCCCGGTGAGGCCACCTTTACTCGAAGCCCAGCAGTGCCTCCAAATTCCAGCCCCTTGGGGGCACTTTTGGCCCTTTTTGGAACAAATTCTCACGTACCCACAGGAATCAGTGACAGGATCAGACAGACGCATGGCCTTCCCAGGAACCCCTCGTCTCATCGTGACAGGCAACCTCCCCTCCAAACTCCTTGCCACAGTTTACCCCTGTGGTCTCTCTCCTCCCTCCCTCCTGCGGGAAGAGTCCGCAGCAGACACTGAGGCAGGGGGACCGGACGGAGGGGCCGAGGTCAGCGGGACAGCCGCCGTGCATCCTCAGGGAACCGGGAATGTCCCAGGACGCAGAGGGAGATGGACGCCTGTCCCAAGTGCACGTGCTCCATACAGCGCGAGCTGTTCTAAAATGTGTTCAGTGCAAAAAGTTGACAGCGACAGTGCACTGCCGCCGTGTGAAGAATGTATGTAAATTAAAATTCTATGTAATGAAAGTTTTTACTTTTGCAATTAAAAGCGTGTATGTTGGTTTCTAAGGACTTTCCTGTCCTCAGTGTCATTCTTAGATTTCCAGTTCTCTTCTGCCGTAACTGAGGAGACCAACGAGCCACGTCCTACTCGTGAGGCAGGCCCGAGGGCCCTGCTGGTCACTTGTCCCCTGTCCCCCCTGCCCCCGGCCTTGGTCCTCTCTGACGTTCTCTCCCAGGATTCAGAGGAGGCCCTGCGAGCCTTTTCCTGTCTCCTGAGCTGGCTGCACATAGTCCAGATGTCATCAAGTGTCACCTCACCTGTGGATGTCCTCGCTTCTCCCAGGGGGACAGCTGGCCTCTGATTAGGGCCACTCTCAGCACTCCGTTAATTCAGTGCAGGTTTGAGTTAAGTCATTTTGGTGTGTTCATATTTTTTTTTTTTTGGTAACATCTTTTTTATCTAGTAAAACTATAAATGCATAAATAGAACTATTTCCTATATACTGCGTCGTGTCCTGTCTTTCCCCCGTTGCTTGCTACAGGCTTGTCCCTGTCCCCCACATGCCTCGCCCCCTTCCCCGGTCAGGTCAGTGTAATATATACACAACCGTGTGTCTTTCCATGGCTTCCTCCGTGCTCTCTGATCATAACCCTGGATCAGGATTCTTGTCCTTGCTTTATCAAAAATGCGATCACAATGACAGGCGCTCGTCTGTCACTTTTCTCACTCAGTACCTCACAGAGTTCTCTTCAAGTCACCTGGAGGAGCGCTAATCCTTTCTGTCTAATAGCTGATACTCCACGGTGTGGATGCCACCATTTATTCCATTGTCCTCTTACTGTCGGTAAGTCATCCTGTTTAATGATTATTTGGATTAGAAGTCAAGAAGTTTAGAGTTCATTTTAGAAATACTCGATTTGGGGTGCCTGGGTGGCTTGGTAGGTTGAGTGTCTGACTCTTGATTTTGGCTCAGGTCCTGATCCCAGGGTCCTGGGAGGGAGCCCCTGCGTGAGGCAGCGTGCTGAGCGTGGAGCCTGCTTGGGATTCTCTCTCTCCCCCACTTTCACATGCTCTCTTTCTCTCTCTCTCTCAAATAAATAAATATGTTTTAAAAATAAAATTTGTTTTAAAAAAAGTATATTCATGCGTCTTTGCTCCAGCTAATGTATATTCTTCAGAAATTCAAATTTCAACCCATTCCATAGGACTGTTCATTTAGCTGCTTGAAAGGGGCAAGGGCTTGACTCCATGTGAAAAGGTGACAAAGTCACCAGGTTTCAGTCCCCTTCTTTCTCTGTAGCACTTGACGCTGGTAGAGAACATCTCCCTCCCTTGGCTTCTCTGAGACTCACTACTCCCCTCCTGAACCTCCTCTTTTCCACTTCTGTCTCCTTTGTGGAATTTTCTTCTCCTCCCTGTCTCTGAAACGTTGGTCTCTCCTTCCGGCCCTCCATGCTCTCCCTGCAAGGTCTCAGCTCCGTGCTTTCCCTTCCACCCAGGGCCGAGTCATCTTCACCCTATGTGCCTGGTCCGCCTGAGCCCTG